AAAAGAAAAGGACAACATCAGGGTACATAATTTCTATTTCAGTAAAGAAAAAATGAGTGGTCAAAAGCACATTTAACAAGTTCTCAACACTTAAAGAGTGAATTTTGGTATCAGGTCAGACGATCTACCTTATACCTGACTGCCTCATATGTTCCATAAACAGCACCTGCAGAGAAATTACATATATCAGATGAATAGTTGAAGCAAACCAAACTATAGTTTCGACAGTGAACCAAAAGGATAAATATATAGGACAGAATCTGTATGAATTGAAACTATCTTATTAAGATTGTCCACTAGTTAATATATTTCTTTTCAGCATATCCACAAGGAAATCAATGGTCATGGCTTAAGGGGGAATTCCAAAGGTATAATGATGATGATAATGGTGTGAAAAAAGCAAACACCAAGATAGTTAAAGTTCCATAATGTAAAGCATACAAGTGCACACTTTTAACTTGCACCAGTGAACTAAAGCTTTTCCACAACGTTTTTCATCTTTCTAGAACATGTGTCTGCCCTCAGCAGGCAGGTCACACCACAATAACCCTATAGTTACAGTATATAATGTTTACACTGAATTGTTTGCTACAAGTATCCCTAGAAATAGAAATTTAAAACTTAAGCTACAATCTAGCTATTTTATTTCTCTCGATTATCTTCTTAAGTTCAGTATGGAATTGTTGCTTCCTTATGATTCTTTCCAGGTATTGTATAATTAAAAGACTTCAGTCACAGTTCTATTCAACCAACTCTAGTCCAGATTTATTTCTTCCAGTTCCTTCAGAACAACCTAATGCAGGAGCTTGCTAATATATTATTATATTCATTTTGCTTAATGACTAAGGAGATGATGCAGCATCTTAGATTATTTATTATATTTTTTTTTGCTTAATGACTAAGTAGTCACCTTTACTAATAGCAAAGTTGTCTCAGTGACAAAGAATCTCCCTAGAATAGATAGGTTGTGAACATGAGCTAAAGGGAACTTTTGGTGAAATTCTACAGTATGCATCAAAACTTGAGGTTCTTATAGCCTTTTAGTTTAAACCATCCTTGTTCCAGCTCCATTCTTACTTCTTTCTAGCCTTTGTTGGTTAGGCTATTGGTGTTTCCTCCCAACTCACAAGCACTTCTAGAGACTTTGCACGGGTAAAGCCAACAAAAATTAACCATGCTATTTTAGCTACACTTGTCAAGCCTCAATTGAAGAACACGGGAGCCTCCCAATTTCGAATCAAGAAAGCCACCACTATTAGGCAGCTGGGAATATCATCAAGGGCGCCCCCATTTTGCAAACTATCCCATGACTTCCATCCAATACCATCTTGTAACAAAAACTCATCTGCACAACTCCTGAAATCACAAGTCCTCTCGATCGCAGCTTTCAGTGTCTTAAAACCAGTCTTTTCATTAAAATCATGCCCTTTATAGTACACCTAAAACCAGTCTACATCTTCTGATGCGCGATTTCTCTCACTAAAACATTCCAGAGAATAGTGAAACAAATGACATTAAAATCAACTTTTGCACACATTATCAGGAAACAGTTCCTCAATCCTCCTTCCCAAAATCAAGCAATAACACAGATGGTAGTCCAAATATTAAAAATTTTAACAGGGTTGCGATGCCTTAATTTAATTCAATTGGCTTCACGGGTTTTGTGTGTTTGTATGATAAGATATAAAGATAGACTTTAGAAATTGAAAATAACAACAAATTAGGGGCATTAAAGTCCCCATAAGAAACAATACGCCGATAACAAGAAAAACTTATATTAATCAAAAACAGAACAAGAATATGTTTTAGGGTTTATGATGTAAGAACTCACCTACGGCGCCACCAATAGCACCTCCAACCGCAACGCCAGCTGTTACACGAGCCAGACAAGTATCCCTCGCCATTTCAGGATTGCGAGAGTTCGTGTTAATGTAAGTATTTGATTGACTGAGAGTGAAACCTTCTTGAGGTTTGGAAACGACTTTGTATTCAGTGGTGACTATGTTTATATATGTTTTTTTTTTGTTTTTTTTTTTATCATATGATCGTACTATATTATTCAGCTATTAAATAATATTTTTTTCAATATAATTGTTTTGAATTGCTTTAATCTTATAAATGAAGTAAAATTTAAATTTATAGATGATATAGAATAGAAAGAAAAAGAATTTTTTTTTATTATTGATAAGGTTTAATCATGGTAATAATGTGATATAAAATAAAAAGAAACAAATGAAGAGTAAATAAAGAGAGAAAACAAATTGATAAATAAATAAAGTAAAAGGAAATGAGTGTCAATTTAATAATATATCCATAACACGTTTATAATTTTCAACAAATTGATTTGAATTATCTATAAGTAAATATTTTAAGTATTTATTAAGTTAAAATGTTTGGTTTTTAAAATCTGAATAGTTTTGTGTAAAGCCTGATATATAGTTTAGAATTAAATTATTTTATGCATTTTTAAAATGTATAAATAAATCCTGATTAAATATAGTGTTAGTAGCTAGTGTATGTGTATTTGTTGCATATATATATATATATTGAAAATAGAATTATTAAAAAATTCACATAAATTTATTTACCAATATATATTTTTCATATCATATGTTATCATGAAAGAAATCACATATTTCTTGCGAAAATAGAAGTAAAAAGTATCATTGTGTACTATAATGTTTGTACACGTGTGCAAAGAGTGTTACATGAAAAGAAGGTTTTGTACTGGTCTTGCTAGCTTTTGGCATGTTGAACTTGTAATCATTTTGTATTTTCCAGCTGCGGCTTTTTGTACAGGTTCGTGGCCTTGTTTGAATTCTTCAAATAAATGCGGTTGTGTTTTTTAATTGAAAATTTTGATTTTTTTCTTAATTAATTGTTAAAAAACCACTGCCCTTCCTGTTTTTTAATTGAAAATTTTGATTTTTTTTTTTTAATTGTTAAAAAAACACTGCCCTTCCTACAAATCTCTCAAAATAAAAGATTCCGTTGCCGGGAATCGAACCCGGGTCTCCTGGGGGAAAGCCAGATATCCTAACCGCTGGACGACAACGGATTTGTTTAGGTAATCTCTATTTATTGTTATATAATATTTTATTAAATTGAATCTACGCATTACCATTCTTGCCAGCTAGTCATCAACTATATCCTTAAGATTCATCTTTATCTTCTTCTATTTTGTTTATTAAATTCTGGGTGAACATATATATGAATGGTGACTATCCAACATTGAAAAGGAATGAAAAAAAAGAAAGAGATGCCTCTGTATAAAACGTATCTATAACGCACTGCTCTAGATTTTTGGATTACAGGTGGTTTCTATGTGAGCTTCTGTGCTTGCAGACCAGTATAAACATGGAGGTAAATGCATCTTCCCGAACCTATACAACTCCCTAACAAACTGGTATCAGAGTTAAGGGTTTGGTTTTGGATTAGTGATAATTGTGGGTGGGCTCTCATCGCTCTGTCGGGTTCTCATGAGTGAGCATGGAAGCTAAGCTCCACTTAGTTCCGGATATCATGTTCAAATATTCCAGACATTTATATAAAAGGAGATTTGTTAGGTTTATATACGAGAGAAAAACTATCTTATGTTCAAAATTAATGAGAAAAGAGAGGTGTTTACATGTAAGATGGATACATAACTCATTAGTTCTAGACTTTTGAATTGATAAAAAAATAAAAGAATTATATTTTGATAATTTTATCGGGGATGTATTAGAAAGAGAAAAGAATAATATAATGATAGGTACAATAAACATTTCAAATCTGTTTTTATAATTATTATACGATAACAACGGGTAAAGTTTAAAGATCTTGGAAACAATCGGATCAATGATGTTTTTCCTTTCTGGTTAAGAGTACTTCTGAATCTGAAGGTTCTCCTCTCGACATCTAACCAGTTCCATGGCGTAATAATACCGAAGTGTGACGAAACAGAGTTGAGTTTCAGAAGTTGCACATCATTAACCTTTCTCGAAATAATTTTTCTGGTCACCTCACTACATCCTCAAATGGATAGAAACGAAGAAAGCAGAAGCAAATCAATCAGCATATACGTACAAGATCTCAACGATAAACAAAGGTACAGAACAAGAGTTTGGCAATATCTTAGATTTCTTCATGGCCATTGATCTTTCCTTCAACAAATTTGAAGGAGGTATATTCCACAGCTCGAATCATTGGACCTTTCTCAAAACAATCTCCCAGGAGAGATTCCTAAACGAATGGTGCAACTTAATTTCCCTGCTGTATTCAATGTCTCTCACAACCACCTTAGCGGACCCATACCACAACGGAAGCAGTTTGACACATTTCTGAACGATTCATACGAGGGAACCCAGGTTTGTGCGGGAAGAAATGTGAAAATCGAGGGGCTTTGCCATCCCCGTCAGTACCTTCAAGTCCTGTAGATGATCAACCCTCGGATATGTGTTAGGATATGGTTGTGGGCTGATAATTGGGCTTGGACATGCTGTGGCCACGATAAAATGTGATTGGCTTATGAAGACTTTCAGGGTAAGACCACATAGAACGAGAAGATGAATTAGAGGGAGGAGACTCAGAAATGGAAATTCTAGTTTCTTGCATTAGAATAGAAAGATGGAAAGGTCCGCGAAGATATCCATTTATTGCCAGTAAAGATGGCTAACGGCAATTTCCAGGGATGATTGGTGGTCATCGGACGGACCTTTCTTGCCTGCTAGCATCTCTAGAATCCAAAATCTCAACCTTTCAAGTTACAGTTGAGACGGACTTGATTGAGTGATAAAAGGCGCAATGGCAAAGATTTAGCAACCACGTCCAAGTATATAGCACCGGACAAGAGTACTCTTGGATAAAACTGAAGAGTGCAGGTAACAAAGTTTATAATAAGAAAATAACAAAAAGGATAAGCGTGCCCAGAAGCTCAAACTCAAATTTAGGGTGAATTAGTTTCATCAATCTCATTAGTGATATATTTGAGACTTACAATAAATCGTGATCTTAGATTCTTCGAAACTTGAACTCAAATAAGACAAATCTGAAGAGACATCCAAATAAGAATGTGCATGGCATCTACTAGCAACAAACCTGAGCTGAATTCATGAACCAGTTAAAAGAAAATTCCTGTAGTACGTTCTCTTATGAATTTACATGGCATCTGCTTTTTTTCTTAAACATGAGCAGCAACCTAATAAGAATTTACATTTCTCAACGTCAACTCCCCAAACAACGTACATATAGGGAAAAAATTGGAAACATGAAAAAATTCAAAACACAGTGGAAAAGGACTAAAAAAATGACAGAAACAAACTTTTCAAGAGCTCCCTCTTACACCAATACTTGCTGCTTGCTTTTCTAAACTCATTAGAAGGATGGAAGACAAATCTAATTAGCGTGGAGATGCCCATCCTTTAGGTGAAGCGCAGAACTGGAAAACAATCTGGGTTTCATCTACAGAGATTGTTTGTGCATGCTAATGAGTCAAATCCTCGCTCCCAACACCAACGCTTGACTTGTCAATCATACGCACATTGTACTGTTCATATACCCTTGCCCTATTTTCTGTCCACCATTGTTCCGCTTGTTTCTCAGTGAACCGCTTTCGACTGCATTTATAAATTTGATCACAATTTAAAATTGCACCACTGGAACCATGACCAAATTCATTTCTAGAACTCAATTAAGATGTCACAAATTACTGGGAAACTGTATGGTTATGATTTTTATCAAAAAACAAAAACATGAAGACCTCCAGATTTGTTCCATGGCATATGCAAGAAAAGAATGCAAGGTTGATAGGACCAAAAATTGTCTAATGTCTTTCCATCACAACTCAATTGTGGGATGAGACTGCTATCAAAGTTGTTTTCAAGTTGAAGGCGGAAGCTTAATTAAGCAACCGCACTAAAATAAGAACCTGCTTTATGGCAAGTTAGAATTTAATAGAGACAAATGCGCAATATGCTATTAGAGATGTGAGCCTGGGCATGTAACCACTGACTATACAATCTAATTGATCAGAGACATTTGGGTAAGATTTGGATAGCCAAACTGGCCTGAGAACAACGCACCTGAATCGCACTCGCTTGAGATCCTTAATACCTCCAGGTTGGGAGGTGAGTGTTATATATACACCAGGCTCATCTTGCTCGACCCATTCAGCTTCATGTCGCAATTCACCTTCTTTGGTTCTGCTTCCATTTTTTGTTGTTGCTTCCAAATGGCCTTGTTTGTTGTGACCTGCAATGCGGTTGCTGGTGAACTGGTTATGCAATCCATTTGTGTCTGGTTCTTGGCATGTGATTTGACCATTCAAACGGTCAATAGCAGAAACATCGTTGGAAGTAGGACTGGATCCAAATGAAGTAAACAAAGGTGATTTGATGCTTCGGCCCATTCCCACAGGTAGTCTTTCAGCCATGTCTTTTAACTATTAAGCATATAAAACAAAATTAATCATCAGCAAAAGATGCATCATTAACATAAAGTTGCTACAAGCGGGCATGATTAGCAACTATCCAACTGAGCATTGTCAAACTACTTCTTGTTGCAAGTACAATAGACAATTGTTTTCATGCTAGTTATGATAAAGCAAAGCATGCAAGTATTCAATTTTCAGATCGATATTTTCCAAACAGCATTTATCTTCATTTTCATGGGTTCAAAGTTGCATTCCATGAGCTCCTATAAAGAAAGGTTAATTTCTACAACTAGGAAATGAGAAAACCCGATTAAAAACAACAAAGAGAGCATAAACCAAGTAAAAGAAAATCTAGGTATGTTTAAGCAATCCATAGTCAATCATACTGATGAAGATGAAATCCATCTTACTTGTGCAGTAAGAGACTTGATCACTTCTTTTGCTGCTTTGCATTTAGCAGTCTCTTCTCCAGCAATGGCTATTGCTTCCTTCAGCCCTATGGTTGTTCTTTCCAGCTCAACTTCTTGAAGCTGGGCTTTTCGATTAAGACTTTCCACCTGAGAGACCATTTCAATAAGGTATAATAATGAACAAGCGAAATAACCAAGCACATGAAAACACTGAAATACCAGAGGTTTTAATCTTAGGTGCTCTCAGGCAGAAATTCCAAAATATCATAATTAGGATTTTAAATTTTAATGGCTGATAATCTAGTCACAACAGAAACAGCCAAGTCAATCCCTGTCATGCCTGTTGTATGAATGACCATAAACTAGTCTGCAATTATATACTATGTTTCCTTTTGAAATCAAATGGCAGGTAGCTTCGAGAAACATAGACTGATCAACATCAGAGATCACTTATACAGGCAGGTAGCTGCAGTGAAATTAAAACCACTAGCATTTCATGTTACTTGTTTGTCTTTCTTGGCCTTCAACAGTGATAAAGAACACATAGCCAAGTTATTCACTACACAATGGCATAAAGTTGGATGGAGATTTGAGGTTCAGCAATACAGAGCCGGGCAGAAAATGAATGCAGTAAACAGAGTATGCTTAACTAAAAAAGTTGTGCCATTTTGATGATTATCAGCTATTGAGAAAAATATAAAACTGAAACACGCAATCCTTTGTGTTTTCAAACAGTATCTAGTACATATGGTTAGCACAAACCATGAATGAAAAAGGTTATACTGAAACTAGTGCATATGGTTACCACAAACAAACCATAAATAAAAAGGTTATACTGAAACTAGTGCACTTTGTCATATGTACTTTCATACACTTCCAGAATGCTTCACCAATTTTTGAAGGAAAAATAGAAGAAAAGTCCTCGGAATTAATTAAATTACATGGATATGTGATTGAAAAGAATGAAAGTACATACCTGTGCTCTTAATTTAATAACTTCTTGGTTAAGGCTCTCATTTTTCCTTTTAGCATCATCCACAACAATTTTTGGTGAGGTGAGTCCACCCAGAGTTGGGGTCGGCGTTGTTGATCGTGTGGGGCTAGGTCGTCTAGATATTGGTGATGTTGCTCGAGAAACAATTCTTGATCCAGGAACAGAAGCAGAAAAAAACTTCTTTGATGAACCAAACATAGGATTAAAAGATTTAGAAATATTAAGTGCTCCCCACTGGGAGCCTCCATTTGGAACAGGTGACACCCTGCTGCTATTGAATTCAAGTTTTTTGTTTCTCTTGGATCGGCTTTCTGCTTGCTTCAAGGATTCCATTGATGAAAATCTAGCTAGTTGTGCACGAGACCTGAAGTCCAACTTCTCATCTTTATCAATAAACTCGCTTGGCCCTTGATTGACACTGCCTCTCCTACTCACAGAAGATTGAGAAGAAGCATCAGTCTCAATTGCTTTTCTTAGTTTGTTATAGCAATTATCACAGACACGATAAGCTTTGTTTGGATTTGGTGCCATTGAAGCCTTGAGAGACTTCTTGCTGCTGCATGAATGACAATAAACAAGTCCACAATTATAACAATTATGCCGCTTCCTTGCGAAATTAAGTGGTAGGCGGCAGCCAGAACACATAGACTGATCAACACCAGAGACCCACTTATGAAGGCAGATAGCTGCAGTAAAACTAGTACCACAAGCAATACTTTTTACTTGTTTGTCTTTCAGGGCTTCCACCAATGATGGGGAATTTCTATCATCTGTATCCCCATGGCCTAGTCTTCCATTTGCTCCCTTGCCCCAGGTGTAAACTTCAGTTTTTGAAGTTAAGACTGCAACATGATAAGCCCCACAAGCAATTTCCTCAACAAAACTCTTGGAGACTTTTCCTTCAACACGAGTTGGGAGCTTTCCGTCAGCTAGTGGATTGCCCAGCTGACCATAAACAGGACTGCCCATTGTATACACATGGCCAGAGGTGGTTCGTGCAACTGTCAGACTATGTCCACATGCAACTTGGCAAAAATTGGGGTCAACAAGAGCAGCAACACATGTAGGAACCAACTTTGCTTCCTTGTCACCATGCCCAAGTCGTCCTTTATCTCCATCGCCCCAGGTAAACAGTTTCCCTGAAGAGCAATTGCTGGAACTTGAATTTCCAACCATGACTTCTACAACTGCAGCAGTATGCCAAACACCACAGGCAGCCTGAACAGTGCGGAGCCCCTTAAGAGATTCCACTTCCCTTGGTAATGAAATGCTTTTTCGATCTCCATGACCCAGAACACCAAATGTGCCATCACCGAAAGTGAATAGTTGCCCAGCAGAGGTCACCACTGCAGTATGCCAGGGTCCACAAGAGATGGAAGAGACATGTATGCCTTCCAAGGGTCCATTCACTCTTTTTGGAACCCAGTGACTCACCTCGTTTCCATGTCCTAAAAGACCAAAATTATAAGTTCCATCACCCCATGTGTACAGATCACCAGAAAGTGTTACAGCACATGTGTGGTACTCCCCACATGCTACGAGCTCAATATTTGTATTACTGAGGGCTTCAATAAGTTTAGGATGCAAAACATCAGAATCTACACCATGCCCAAGCCTGCCCCCAGATTCCTCACCCCAGGAGAAAATCTCTCCTTGCTTGGTCACTAAGGCTGCATGATGTCCACCACAGGCAATGTTCTGGACATCAAGTACAACTGCAGATTCCAGAGCTTTAGGAAACAAAGAATCCATTTTTACACCAAAATAACTTCCAGCTCTATGAGTTCCACCGCCTAGCACACCATCCCCCGTTCCTTCACCCCAAATGAAAACATCCCCCAACGCACCACCATCATCATGACCAGAACCTTGGCTCAATGAGCTAACAGCACTTGATAGGCTAACTCTAAAAGCATCCATTGCCATTGCCTTCATATGACCATGTACACTGTCCGAGCCTCCAGATGATAAAGAATGTACTGAACCACTAGCAGAGTCTGAAGGGAAAATACCTTTTGGGGGAACAGCATATAATACCACATCAGAAAATGCTTTATCCAAACCATTCTTGGGGGGACTTTCGTATGGACTATGAAGGCGGTGGTGATCTGCATCCTGAATAAAGGTAAAGAATATCCCTTGCGTCATCAACAAATTGAAGTTGGGTGCGCACAGGGAAGATGTAAAGTAGAGAAGTGTACCTTCTGCGAACCGTCATTACTACCAAATGGAGAATTCAGAGGGGAGCTTCTGCGAGTATACGTCCTAGGGCTGTTTGCCTCAGATGGAATTCCATCACTCCTTGATTCCGTTCTCCATTTTCGGTTATGACTGCGTGAAATTAATGCTTTTAAACCACTAAACCATACCTCAGCTTCGTCTTTGTCCTTGCAAATCTGGTAAGAAAGATCACATCATCAGATTTACAATAAATTCAAAACTAAAAAGCTGTTTAAAAATGTTCCTACCTGTCATGACAGGTAAGTCACGGTAACGATCAAATGGATAAATAGGAGTAGAAATTAACTCATAAATAGAAGAGTGACGACAGCAAACAAATTCTTACCAAATCCAGTGATCTGTCATTATAAATAAGAGAAAACGACTGATACTCCTTCTCAGGGCGTGGATACCTTTGAAAGATTGGCTGGAAAAAATGGACCATGTTAATCAGTACAAAACAAGAGGAGGAATTCTTTTGTGGATTCATGAAGGCATATATGAAATTTGGAAACAAACTATTCTAACACAAACAATTGCATGGGAATAAAATTTGTAGAAGGAATTGTCATGATACTGCAACAGATGATCCTGGTTGAAAAGCATAGCTGACTGGTTGTGGTGCACCAAGTGGGGAGAAAGTTAAAAAGGAGAATACTTAAAGGGGGCACTAGTTTGGCAAAATATAGCAAAAGGGGCTTCTTCTCTGGTGCAATGGCAAGAATCCTGAACCATGAAGTGCATGCCTTAACCTCAAGGTTATTTCAGGCAGATATAGTGGAAGATGGGGCCACTTGCAGATCACCCTAATGGGACTCCATTTTATTTGGACCAGCACTAGGTAATGATGTTTTATGGACAAAATCAATGAAAAATAAAAAAAAAATTACTCTGAGTGAGCATTTGCATATGTGGATTAAAGATGCAATAGTTTATTATTGGAGCACCATAGCCAGCTCTATGTCAACCAGGATAAGTTCTTGACAACAAGTAATATTGCATTTAGAAAGTTCCCTATACATTCTAATAATGCTCTAATTAAATCAAAGGGCTTTCAAAGGAAGAAAAGAGAGAGAAGCAAGAGTAACAACATTAGATTCACAGGTAGCTCTAAAAATTATAACAAGCAGTCTGCATGTAGCTGCAGTCTATAAATAATGTCAAATTCAAGGAAGAGTATCTAAGTAAACCACAATAATTTCAAATCAAGAACTTACTGTTCGCTGCCCGGATATGATTCTAGATACGTGAATTAGTTGGAGAAATTTCTCCTGTTTCCCAGAGAACCATATCAAAACAGACTCATCCTGAAAGCAATGCACATTCAACCATTTAGAATTTCTAGTAGGAAGAATCTAATTAAAAAAATAAGGCAAAGACCGATATGCATCAGAACATGCTGGGTGCGCCCTAAATGAAAAAAAAGGGAAAAAAAAAGATTAAATTGTTGAAGACAGATGTACCAGCACCTTACAAGAAAACCTAATCCCCTGCCCAACTGGGCCGACCTCATAAATAAATTAACTTACATTACAAATTTCTTGCACGGACAATATAATGGAGGTTTAGTTTTTGTTGAGCTGATTGTCAGACTAAAGCAATGATGATAATGAAAGAGAAGGGCGGGGGGTTGGAGTGCATGTATCAAGAGACAAATATTAGTAAAACTTGGACCAAACTTACATTGGAAAGGCGGAATGGACAGAACTTTGGCTTTCCCCTTCTTCCATACTTGAGCAGGTAAGCCCCTTTCTTTAAAGCTGTGATGGCCTGTTGTAAAGATCATTCAAGAACCTAAATTATGCATGTCCGGCACATTCTTAAGCATAATATTACTAGCAGAAAGCTAAATGAAAGTGAAATAGTAAATGCCATATTCAAATGGCTAAAAGAAATCCAAAGAGATTCATACAGATTTGAACAAGGTTGGAGGGTGAAAATGAACAGTATGTCTAACAAAAATGCACTTCACAATCATTTCAAAAATTTAGAGAGACAGAGAGAAAAGAGACTAAAAGCACAGCACAGCAAACCATCTGGGAAGATGTCAAATCTAAGTCTTAGTGTAGCAGCTCATTTTGCAAGAGATTCAATCTAACCCGTCAGCCTTCTCAATCAATATAAAAGCACCAGTATAAATTCAGGATATCAATATGTTTTTCCTTTACTGCCTGAATAAAGATGATTAACAGATTTGAACCCAACCTGGATTACTCTCCTAGGACATATATTTCCACACCACACTTAACCTGATCACATCTATAATACCAAAAGAAAAAATTACAAGAGAACCTAGGATTGGACAGGAGATGAGAAAGTCAAGTTTTTCACTTCAATGTCAACTAATTATCTTCTGATAAATGTCCTCATAATTTGCATTGACTTCTCCCTGTCCTAATTTCAACACCGATACATTTCTTAATTTCCTACTCGCTCCACCACCACCAATTCCTTGCCCCTTCATCCTTTCATTAAGTTCTCAACAACAAAGCATTTCTTTGCAGAAAAATCTAGAGTAACACCACCATTCCAGCCCACAGTTGTTTAACCATTCGGATTCTAAACTCTCTCCTCAACACTGACAAAGCCATTCAGATTCATGTAACAAAGCAAACAAAGCCTTATCTAACCATGACCCAGAAACTGTCGACATACAATAAGCATTTCTCTTAATCCCACGAAAAATTCTGTTAAACCATTAATTTTCATAAATCACCTTAATCATCCGAATAAATTCAACTAAACGATAACAGAATAAAAAAAAAAAAAGATAAAAAGATAAACACAAAAAAAAAATTAGAAGAAATACCTGTTCGGTGTCTCTTTCAACATGTCCAGTTCTACCAAGATCCGAAGCCATATCACCCCTTAACATTAAATCCCCAACAATAAAAACCCAAAAAAAAAAAAGAATCTAGTATTTCAAATTAACCATTTTCAAAAAAACCAAACCCTTCCATCCAATTCAATTGAAAACCCTAAGAACAACAGAAATCCACACTCACAGCCAACTCAGCTCGACCATCAAGATCACTCAATGGCTGAGTCACCAGCTCAATCAGGTCCAAAACTCACAGAAATTCTTTCACTTCAGAGTAACTTCAATTTGAAGTTCATAACAATAAATGGGGTGAATGCTTAACCAATCTGATAAAATATAGGAGAAAAAAGAGCGAAGTCCAGTGATTTTGGAGCTCGAAGATAAAACTAAGTGTCTATTTCGATAAAGAGAGAAAGTGAGGGAAAATTTACGAAAGCAATATATATATTCATCTGATAATTGAAGTTTCTATGTGCAAGAGAGAGACCAGAAGCTTTTTGCTACTTTTTTTTTCCTCTCTCAAGTGAGGAGTAGTGCTTTTATTTTATTTTATTTTATGGAGCTCAAGGGAAGACTGAAGAGAGAGAATAAAGAAATGGCAAAAAAAGTGGAGTGGGATAAACCCTCAAATTTAATTTGACATTTAGTTTTTTTCCGCTAATTGATGTTAGTTATGCTATTAGTTACTGTTCTTGTTTTCATCTTCTTTTTCTTTTTGTTGTCTGTTTGGTGTCTGAGAAAGTGAAAGCTCGGATTCTATTGACTAAAAAAAAGTGAAAGGGTACTGGAGGCTTTGCTAGTAAGCAGTATTTTACATGAACAGTCAATTTGAATTATCCATTTTTTATTCTTTTTTATCCGTTTTTCACTGCGATTAAAGCTAATTAACTACTAGTCTACTTCTACTTTACCAGAAAAGCGGGTGTTAATTAATCCTCTCTGGTTTTTTACCTTGATTTTTCCATTGGCAATTGTAATTTTTTTCTTTTTAACTAATTATAACAAAAGTTAAAAGAGATTAATATTTTTCTGTATATATTAAACGATGAGACTATGATTTTGCCCTTGATTGGCAAAATTAGTTGGCTTTGTTTTTAGGGCTGGGAGGCATTTTGTATAGTACCCATTTGTTATTACACGAAAGAATGACGTTAGATTGTTTTTTTGCATTTTTATTTACACAATATAATTATTTTATTATCCTTGATATAAAAAACATATTAAATTTTTTTCAAGAGATTTTTTAGTTATTGACTTAATTTTTAAACAATTAAATTACATCATTGCTCTTCCAATGCAAAACACTTTGCCTTTATCTCTTACATTTAGTTATTTTAATAATTGTTTGGTGTCATTAAGAATACTATGGTAATATTATAAATAAGTAAAAAGATATGTTCGAACGACATATGTGATGTTATCTTATTCTCAAAACCTTTCTTATAAAGTGACTATCAAAATTTCTTGACATCTCTTTCATCTACAGGCAGCATATGTAACATAATTATTATCGATGTGGTGAATATAACCTTGAAAAAATTCAAGTTAGTCCTTAAAATTTGTTGATCTTAAAATTCCATCCTTTTTCCTATTTATTGCAATTTTTCTTATTTACAATAATTTATGAAGTTAAAGATTTTTTTTAGTCTCACCCTAATAGATATTTTCATCTATCATATTTGGTTGTCATTTTTTTATCATTATTTATTTTATTTTATATAGTTTTTTCAATTTTATTATTCTTGAGTTTTTTCTTGTCAAATTCTTTATTATTATTATTGTATTTTTTTTCCTTGCAAGAATTTTCTAAATTTATTTTTTTATTATTCAATCCTTTAAATTTAATTAATTGACTGTTTAGCTTTTTAGTTGAACATGAGTCTTGAATTTAATAGATCATGAGTTTAAAAAATTAACCTTAGTTTACAGAGTTAACAGGAGTTTCCTTCTTTTTCTTTTTTTCCCATCCTCTAGCATTTTATTATTTTTTCTTTACGTTCTATAATATTTTTTAATCATTTTGAAAATAACATGATTTGCCTCAATTTTTTTTTTGTCTTTATTAAATTTATCTTTTCTAAAAAAATATTATTTTAAAATTAAATTAAATTAATTGATTTCACCATCTAATATTTATTTTTTAATATGTTAACTGTTAAGCTTTTGGGTTAAGCCAGAGTTGAGAATTTAATAGACTGTAGGTTTAAGAGTTTAATCCAGCTTTGCAAGGTTCATTGAGACTTACCTGTTTTTACTTATTTTTTTAAGTTATTGTTTTCGATTACATCCTCCAACATTCTCTTCACTCACTTTCTATTTGATTTATCTTTATTTTTCAAATAATAAAGGTTGCCTCGAGTTTTTTTAGATCATTGTTAAATTTAGCTTCTTTAAAATATTTTTTTTTTAATTAAATTAAATTTATTAATTTCATCATTCAACAATTAATTTGATGGGTCTTGAGATTCTTAGTTTAGTCCATGTTAATGATTTAATGGATTGTAGACTTAAAAGACAAGCTCATGTTTACAAAGTTCACCCAAGTTTACTTGAATTTTTTCAATTCTTCCTTTTTTCTTTTTTCCATCTACCAATATTTTGTTATTTTTGTTTATTCACTTTTCATAGGATTTTTTAGCGGCTTTGCAATCAACAAAGGTTAACTTGATTTTTTTTCTCAACCTTCGTTAAATCTAGCTTTTTTAAAAGGAAATTTATTTTTTAATTAAATTAAATTAATTGCATAAGAGTAAGCATAAAATACCCATTTCATAATTTTTTATTTTTGTTTGCTCATTGCTTAGACAACACGTGTAACCTATTTCAGTTACCAAAATCTTATATTTTTCTTACTCCTTTCAAAACATTGTTATTGCATGAACACTCTTTTTTATGTTGGCACAAAATTATGTTACAAGCCACTTATCTAATACAATTTATTAAGTAGTATTTGATTATTGTTTAAAAAAAGAAGAGACAACGACAATGAAAATAAAAATATATTTGGTTTAAGAAACAGTTATATAAAAATAAACATGTCTTTTAATCAATTTTAGAGTGAATTTATGTATTTCAAAAACATGAGGTACAAAGGGGACAAGTCTTTTAAAAAAAATATTTATTTATTTATTATCCTTAAAATATATTTGTAAAAAATTTCAATTTTAAAATTGTCCAACTAAGACACGTAAGAATAAAACATGTTATTATTGTAGTTCTATAACCCAACTTGAAAGGTCGATTTGAGACAAAGTCACTATTTAAGGTCTAGGTTATAAGTTGGGTTGACCTGAGTCAACGTAAAAATAAAAATTATATTGTTATAATTTTAAACCTGATTCGGAGGTTGATCCAGAATAAAAGTCAAGTAATTAGTAGAGTTAATCGTTGACTTTAGTTAATATAATGATAAAAATAGTTATTTTTATAGTTTTAAAACCTGACATTGAGTCAACTTGGAGCAAGATAAAAATAATTATTTTTATAGTTTTAAAACCTGACATGAAGTCAACTTGGAGCAAAACCTAGGTCATATGTTATGATAGTCAACATAAAATAAAAATAATTATTGTTAAAATTTAAAAACTTAATTCAAGAGTTAATCAGAGATAAAGCCTAAATCACAAATCAGGAGGTCAAGTTAGGTAAATACAAGAATAAAAATTACTACCATTAGGTCTTAAAATCTAATTCAATGGTCGACTAGAGCATGGTTTAAGTCACGCACACAAAAAAAAGTTAATGAGGGTTGACCCGAGTCAATATAATAAATAAAAATAAATATTATCTTAGTTTTAAAATCTGACTCGAGAATCGATATAAGATAAGGTTTAGGTTACTGTTCAATAAGGTTAACATATCTAACCTAATTTTTCATAAAAAAAATCAAAATAAATTTGATCTGACCATTTTGTTTCCAAAAAAATAAATGGGTTTTTTACCCTTGTTTTATTCTAGATTGACTTGGATTTTTTACTAGATTATATCAAGTCAATCATTCTTTAATTTTTTCTTATACTCGAATCAATCCAGGCCCAGATCAACTAATCAAGTTAGTCATGATTTTATAATTAAAATTATTATAATATCATTAATTTTAATATTTAAAATGAACTAAAATAAAAGGAAAATATCTAATATTATAACATTATAATATTTGAGTTTGAAAACAATATCTTAAGAGTAAAATAGATTTTTTAATATATTTTTATGTCCTTTTTCACCATAATCAAACAAAATACATAAACAATCACTTTTTTTAAAAACAAAATACATAAACAATCACTTTTTTTTTTTAACTTTATTATCAAACATAATTTTTATTTTATTTTATTTTTTATCCTATCTCCTCTATCTTTAATATATTCATTTTTTTTCCCAAGACAATAACCAAACACAAGTTAAAAATCCTTTCTAACTGTTTTGAATTTTATTTTTTTTATTTCCAATCCTTATGTTATTTTCAAAGAAAATTAATGTGTTTTTAACATTGTATTATTGTAACAGAGCATGTTTTTTTAAAAGTGTTTTGAATTAAAAATATATTAAAATAATATTTTTTATTTTTAATATTAAACCATCAAATCTATAAAAAAAATACTTAAAAAATCATTAATGTGATATTTTATAAACAAAAAAATATTTTTAAAAACAGAAATGATTACATTGTCAGACGAATATTTAGGGATAAAACCAAATTCCTCACGGTTGGAAGCCTAGATGGCCCATCCATGCTTTAATATTAATACATTTTTTTTTTTTGTATTTTTTTCGCTTGAAGGCAACCTATCCCCCACCAAGCCTCCAAGAGTCGTCTGTCCGGGATTTCTGGAGAGCTATCTTTCCTCGATCGAGGCAGTTGATTTGTTTCTTTGTCTCTGATGGAGGAAGGGTGGTCTTTATAACTGATATTTTTTTTTTCAAGTCAGTAATCTGTTTTGGTGAATTAAAATTCAAGTGAAAATATATATATATATATATACATAATATTTTAAATTTTTTTATAATTTTGAGAAAGTATTTTCTGCTAAAAATAAAAAAATACTTTTCTAAAATAAAATTAATTTTTTTAACTGAAAAATATTTTTTATTAACTAATTTTTTAGTAACAAAAAAACATATAAAAATTTAAAAAATTATTTTTTACAAAATAAAGGAGCGGAGCAATAGAAACGAAGAATCTAGCACGAAAAAACAAGAATTAAGACTATAATAAGCAATTTCTCTCTCCGGCCATTGACTTATATAAGCCTGTCTGGAAAACCAATCAACTAGCTGATCCCAGGCACGTGGCATCAATCTACTTAAATGAATGTAAGCCATTTTCTCCTTTGTACAGGAAGATGATCATGAACCTGCTGGAGGGAATTATTTTTATTTTATAGCTAAGGAGATGAAATTTATTTTGAAATCTTATACATTTAAATCTTAAAACTAATAATTTGAATAGACCATATCAATATAATATAAAAAGAGTGACTTTAATGTTGTCTGAAAAGGAAGTTTAGCCTCCAACTATCAATTAACGGGAAAGCTAGTTTTTTTTTTTAAAAAAATCTCTAAACATCCAATAAAAAAAACCCATGTATCACTAGAAAACACAATATTGCGACAAATGTCTTTCAATTTAGGATCTGGCTTGATCAAACACATGAAGCATAAATTTTAGCAACACTCTGACAATGTTACACCAAATTCCAGGTAGAGATCCAATCCAACTTCCAAGTGTCCTGACATTATCTGGAAAAAAGTGAGAAATGGAGTGGTTGAGCATGCAGAGATGACCCAGTTCAACTTGGAATTTGACAAATGTGAGCAGCACAAGAAAAAAGAAGTATTCCATTCCCTGCTGGTTAAAGAGCTTGTGCAAAGTGGCTTGAACTTACACGGATACGTCCATAATGCCCCTAACGACAGCTCCTTTCCCTTTCCAAACCCTGTTGATCGGGACCAACATGACAGTGGGTGCGCTTTTGAGAAAAGCAGCCATTAGCCACACAAGGCAGTGAAATTTCTGGCCCCCTTTCTTTCTTCTGGCTCCATATTGGTCCTACCTTGGTGGGAGATGATGTGCTTATCAGCACGAACCCAACAACCACGTAAAACACTCAAAAAGACCAAGTCATGCAAATCAGGAGACAGAGGAAGGCACCTTTTAATTCATTACATCGTTTGGAAGTATAATTATAGTTATTTTTTAAAATATTTTTTATTTTTTAAAATTATTTTTAAGATTATCACATCAAAATAATTAAAAATATATAAAAAATTAATTTGTAATAAAAGCTTAAATTTAAAAAAAATAAAATTTGCATTGTCTGGACAAAGTAGACGTGTGGGATACAAAGAATCTTGAAAGCTGTTATAAGCTTATTAGCTGTTAGTTATTATTATCCTAGTTAGCTATTAATTTCCTAGTCAAATTAGTACTTGCTGTTATAAGTTTATTAGCTGTTAGTTATTTTATTCTAGTTGGCTGGTAGTTTCCTAGTCAAATTAGTATCTGGTCTTAATTACTTATTAGATTGTAATTCCTTAGCTGGAGGGTATTTAAGAGGAGAACAGGACAAACGATAGGCAGTTACCTATTGTTCTTCTTAGATTCAACGCGAGGTTGAACCAGAGAGCATTTACACCACCAAGCCCTGGCCTCATTCATTGCTCCATATAGTGCCCTGCCGAACCCCAAATCGATGGCTGAAGTTCATATACGAACTCAAACTTAAAACCACCTCTTAAGAGTTCAGGTGTCAACGTATAATATAACATCAATTTCAGAGAGAACAACCCCTACTACTCCTCCGGGTTGAGATGCACAATATTTTTAACTTTAGACTTTCTGCTTTTATTGCTCAATTGGTCAGATATAGATACAGTGACTTTCTTCTGTAAATGATAAGGACTCCTTCAAAATTATTGAATGTGCATGCCTATCTGGTCTAGAGAAGCAGGCACGCGCATGATGTAAAATCTTTTCAAGGAACCGTGTGGTATAGGCTCTCATTGATTAGGTTCATCTTTTTGGCCAACTGGAACTATGACCCATAACAAGGATTAGTTTACTTCTCAGAGGATTTCCTTTGGTGAAGTTAAACCATTTCTAACATTGAATCATGTGCTGACTACTAATGGCATGATCGTGAGAGGATCAGAACATCATCAGGTTCAAGCAACGTGCCTTGCTGGAAAAATATAAAAAACAGCCAAGTATGGGCTTAAATAACCAACTTTATGTGAAGAAAAAAAAAAGGAAGGAGGAAATTCTAGCATTAATAGGTGGATGTGATACAGTAGAATTTTGATGCTAGAATTTCCATTTTCTCTTCTTGCTTGAAGTTGGTGTGATTTTTTCAAGAAATTAAAGTCACAAGTAGGACCTCTTCGGTGAATTAACAATATAACCTATTTTAACATGAACGAACTCTGTAAGCAAGCCCTACCTTAATGGCTAATGTATATAATCGTAGCAGAAATGGTGAGGACAGCAAGGAAGCGAAGACGGTTCCTTGGTTTAAAACATACTGCTGCATCAAGAAAGACTTGCGTGTGAATGAAATGAATGGTTTTTTCCGTTAGAATTAGAAAAAATATATGGACTTTGGACGCTAGAGGATTAATTAAGTTTCAATTTGAGGTTTCTGGATGGCCTTTACAGTTTTGGGACACTCAAAGCCCAGAAAGATCATGAAGACATGCTGGGCCTCGACGTTCATGCTCCCATGAATCAAAGCATCAGTCACTAGGTTTCAAGATGATGTTAGTGTGAGTTTTGAGTCGTGTTTTTCGGAAAAGGTCCACCACGTATTTCGTTTCCTAATGATAATGCATAGATTTTTTGCTGCCTGCTGAGGACGCAAAATTGTTTCGCAAACACACCTTTTCTATTCTTTGTGGCACCATGGTGCATAAAAATTGAAAACACAGCACCCTCCAAATTCACAAAGGAATCCTGAAAGGTGCTAATCACATGCATTACACCAACATGGCCGAAATAGCTTGATTTCTAGGCTCCATGATTAGCCTTTATCATAAGCAATCACTTTAATTACAGGTAAACTAATTATTATTTTTTGGTTATATAAGAATTGGATTCGAGTCTATTATATGTGATTTAATTTAATTATTATATCGTAATTTGATATTTCTATCCACACATGGCTAGACCGCAAACCTTCTATACACAGCCAGCAGTCCACCGCCGTTTCCGACTCCACTTTTACTAGACATATTGGAAGAGGAAGTCCACCGCCGTTTCCGACTCCACTTTTGGGCTCTTACTAGACATATTGGAAGAGAAGAGATGCATGCACCGATTCCCAAATTAGGAACCGTAACACCACGTTCCAAGAACATGTATAGGACGATATCTTTCTCTCTCTTTTTTTAATAAAAAGGAAAAGAAAAACACTTAATTCCTTGTCTACTCTGGATTCCCTTCTTAGATTGGATTCCGCGTTTTGGACCAGCTTTCTATATAAAATATACTCCAATCACTCTCTTATTGAACATCACTGTTTTTTTTCCCGTCTACTTTCTTGCTTTGTGGTGCTCTTCTTTTTGCAATCGCAGAAGCTGAGGTTCTTAACAGGGTGAGCAACTGGGGCTATTAGTCTACATTCGATGGCTCTTATGACCCTAGACGTTTCAATGGAAAGCTTGACAAAGCGGAACTACAATTTGCAAAGTCAGAGACAAGAACACAGCAGCTAGCAATGAAGCGTGCAAGTGCTACAAATCGTGATTTTCACACTGTTTTGGCTGAGGTTGAGCTTCAGGTTAGGGTTCAGCTTGCGGGGATTTTGGCGAAAACTATTGATCCGGTGCCCGGTCGATTGAAGAATTTGGTGATCGATGGAGGAGGGGTTTGTCAAGAAGAGCTGGAGATTGGAGAGGAAGCTAGGGTCATGGAATGCATGCATAAATTTCATTGTTCTTGCATTTACAAGTGCTTGAGAAGGAAGACAACTTGTCCTTTGTGCAGATACCAGATGGAAATACGATGTATAGAGCTTTCAGAATATTTTTTTTATTTGAGTGATCTTTCAAATGATTTTTTCATTAGTTTGCATAATATATTCGTGATCCATGATATTCTTAACTCTCCTTTTTCTCTGATATTTGAATCCTCTCCTAAAATAACAAAGAAAGAACCGGAGAGCAAAATATTAATATGAACCGTACCCAGCAACCTGAAGGTGACATCTAGCTAGCGAATTCCCTTCCCGCCTTCTCTGTTATGTGAATTTTGTCTTTCAAGTTTTGGAGAAAAAAAGATATTAATGAGGTTTCACATTTCATTAGGGGGAAAAGAAGGTCATGTCATGTCATGCATGATTGATAGAAACTAGAAAACAGCTTTATAGCAGTCTTGCTATCATTTGCCTTTACAAAAAGCACCACGGGCATGCTGTGCTGTCGCATGATGTCATCGACATTGTCTGGACAGCCATTGCTAAAGGGACCCTGCCTAATCTGATTGACAATCAGAGATCAAGAATATCTCCAGAAAGAATTTTAACATCGAGGACAAAATTTGTACAAGCTACAAAGTACACACTTGACGACATCAAGGGCAAAAGCAATTGGCTGCCACGATGAACTAAACTTCTTTCCACGTAGCAAAGGAGCATCACTAACAAAAGAAATACATTCTCTCAAACTGTACAGCCTTGTACAATCTTCATCAGGTGAATCGGTAATCGCTCTCTTTTTGAGAGGTGATCTCACGAACCACTATACCATCTCAATCCATTAATTGCAAGTTCCTCATTCTGCCGATAAAACTGGTTTCTGGAGTTTCATCCTCGCTGAAACTAGATGGCCTCTCCATGGCAGACATGCAGCAGACACAAAACATGAAGAATGTCAACAGAATTTTTAGCATTAATTGAAAATTTGAAGACAAGATTCAAAAAAGGGAAATAACACCATGTTGGCAGTGCAGGAAGCACAAAAATATTTTGACAATTAATCATCTAAATGAAACAGAGCTACATGTTTATAGGGTTTGGAACACAAATATCTAAGAAAACTGAAAACAATGTCAATGAACAAGTCAGCATCCCGACCAAACATGGGCATACGGCATCCTCCTTTACAAGCTTGGACACTAGCATTTCCTGAACTTTGAACTTCACACCGAACATAACATAGCCTTGATGTGACAGTAGAACAGTGTGAAGTCTCACGATCAGAGGGTTAACATTCTGCATCTTACAAGAGGCGGCTTATATCTTATTTAACAATCAGCCAAGTTATTCGTGAAAACAAGCTTAAGCAATGTTTTTCACAAAAAAATTATTCAAACAGGTATTCATGACAAGTCTGTGAGCATCGATTTGTTTCAGATACATACAACCTCCCAATGTCTATTGGCACATCCAATGCTCCTACAACTTCAGTGAAAGCAATGCCCGTGGCCATGTTCTCTGGATTCTAATGCACTTCTATATGCTTGACAGATAATTGGTACTATTGATGCATAATTAAAAAGCAATCTGCCTGACACTTCTCCCTCCTCTCTTTTCACCCAACTCTTCAGAAAAAAGGCTTTGCGGGGCCATGGACCCTGAAATAGTTTTAAATAGCGGTTGCAAGTTTCCTACCTGCGCTATCTATCATGACAACTAGAGGTACTCATGCCAGTTCACTTAAAAGGAGAAACAAAAAAAAATTACTAACCACCACAACTGTGTCAGTGATGTAAAACTACACTAACCATCTACACAATTATTTCTTTCAATCGAAATAAAACAACTTACTTTGGAAATTAAAAATTTGCTAAGCGAAATGCATCATCAGACATGGATAATGTCTTATAATTCTCTTTTGTGGAAATTTCAGATTCATTAAAGATTTTAAGCCCATCAAATTTGAAAAAACATGCACAACATATACACACAACACGCTACACTGAGAACATAAATAAGAGTGCACAAAAAAAAAAAAGAGAACATAAAATTATTGTTGCATATAGAAATGTTTACCAACCATTTAGTCAGATTTGTCCTTCGACGTATTTCAGAAAACGATGCTTTTGCCACATGTTCTTGCTGTGGAAAGTCAACTCTGAATCTTTTTGCAACCTTCAATATTAAGCCAAAAAGGAGGAGGTATCAAAATCAATGTACAAATAAAAAAGAGTAATGTGTGATTTAGATTTATATTGAAGAATGTGCATGCAACATATGCAGGATTCATTCAAAATATTCCCATAAGTGATCGACATCATAAACTCACAGTTGTTTCATCTGTTGGATGCCTCTTCACTCTAACTGGGTCGTGAGAGCCTTTCATTCTTTTCATTTCTCCATGAAGTTTGTCCTCCTACACATACCCAATGTACAACTTGATATTAAGCTAAATATGTTAGCATGGATCTGTTCTACAATACCACAAGCAGAAAGATGTAAAGTAATAAGAGAACCTTTTCCATGATCGTACACTGTGCTCTCTCCTCTGTATCAAGAGATTTTCCAGATCCACGCATCGAGTGTGGATGCTTAGATGTGTAACTATTCCTTTGAACCATCTTAGGATTGTCATTATCACAGTCATGCAACCAAGCTTCTGTCTTTTCACTATTAACTCTCCTACCACTGGGACCAAGATGGGTTGAAAGAGAATCCGATCTTCTCCCCTCAAAACCATGCTTAGAGCTCATCCTATAATGTCTTTTGTTTACATAGGCTGATGTTTCACCAGCAAGATCAGGCATATCCATGGCAGAGTTCCCACCAGCATTAGAATTGGAACCATTATAGGTAGGCTTCTGTTCTAGAAGTTGATGAGATTTTCTATCATGAGAATCAGAGGGCTCGGGATTACAATTTGCTCCCTCTGTATATGAATCATGAGAACTCATCTTGGTGCTATATACTTCATATCTCTGCAAGGGAATCAAACAAGTATAATAAGAGATCATGTATCAAAGAGGTAAGAAAAATTCTACAAAAATGGCATTCCATTTCAGATGCAATTCAAGCAATATGTGATTCCATGAAAGCACTGATGGAGGTGTGACTATGAGTTCTCATCAGAGCTTCAGAAAAACTATTATAACTTCACCACTGCGAGCATACACGGGGACTATAGGGACTCATTTGAAGTACAAGATATGGAAGATGGTGGAATGGAGTCTGCAGAATCATATAAAAAAATACCTTGTTCCATAACATTTTAAAGTCTAACTGAACCTTTCTTTGGAGCATACCAAAATGAGGAAGGAAACATGTTGTGAGCATAATTGCTGGTGGTGCTGGTGCATGATTGGTGGTATATTGGCAATAAAAGTAAAGTGAAAGTCACAGTGGTGATAAACATGGGATGGCAGACATCATTGGAAGTGATGGAGAGGCGGAGGATATAAAGGTTTCCAGCATGGATCAGCAGAACTTGAGCCTCAAACTAATTTATACCAACCATCATACTATAATTGTCATAGTCCTCCAATTCCAGAATCAAATTCAGCATAAAATTACAAATGACAACTATTCCAGATTTCAATATGTAAAACTAGTTGCAGCCTAATTAGCTTTTATCTGTCAAAAGTGACTGCCAACCATTTTGTTTGCACCATATAACTCAACTCAACTAATTCTCCATGCTATCAATCCCACTACATTGGACAAAGCAACTGGTAAAAAAAATCTAACCCTCATTTCCGTAATGATTAATGTGCTAAATAAGTGTGCATAACATAATAACAATATGCTGCTAGACTCTAAGGCCAACAAAATGTATTGGAAGATCTACTCACAGCGCCAAGACTGGATTGCTTTCGAACCCCAGAAACATCAGGAGAACAAATCTGAGCAAGATCTCCCACATAGATTGGTCCTGGAAAAATGGTTGGCAAGAAACAGCATACAAAAGTGAACAAGATTCAAGTGTACATAGTTATAACTAAGAAAAAGGAGTACTGTTATCAAATTATACTTTAAGTATATGCCAACAATGTGAGTGAAGTGAGGACTCAAAGCTTCCTTTAGCAGTTGCAGAAAGTGGGTATCAAGAGGAAACCAAAAGATAAACTACAGCACCCAGCATCAAACGTAAATGTCATGGCAAGCCATTTCCACTGAAGAATGTATAATGTATATTGCAAGTCTAAGTAGGTACAGAAACAAATGGACTATTAGCATGCATCAGAAATTTACATTTAATGCAAATGCGACTGAAATAAGTAATGCTGTATTTAAAAAAGTAAGAGTTATCTTATCTGCAACTGAACCCATCAAATCATACAAATGGAATCAAAAGAATTCCCATTTTCTCATCACAACACCTTCCTCTAAGTAAGACACTGAGAATCAGAGAAAACTTGAAAAGAACATAAACTAGAAAAGCAAAATTTATTTGACATCTCCTTCTGCCTGCAGAAATTGCATGGAATGGAAGGAGGTTATTAGAACTTACCATTGACTGGATCTCTAATTGGGGATGCAAAAGCACCAGGAGGAAGTGGCTGGAATTCAACACCTAGTGGTGGACCATCCTCCTTATAACGCCTGCCCAATTGCATCTTGACAGCAGTAATAGCAGCATTCTCAATTTCACCCTTCACTTTCAAATATCCAGATGGTTTATACCCAAAACTATCAGTACCCTTAGGAATTAATGACATGGCAGCTCCATTCTGAGCTAGGTACTTTGGGGTCTCTGTGTCATAAGGATCCTCTCTTTGACAAACAAACTTATCTTGCAACGATGAGCTACTTCCTGAAGATATATTATCAATGCCAGTAACATTCCCTGTATAGCGAGTCGTTCGTTCATAGGTTAGATCAGCAGGATGAAAATCTCGACCATAAAGTCTCTGGCTTTCAACTTCCCTTGGATCAAGATTCCTATAATCACCTTGTTTGGTACTGCCACATGAATCTTGCCTCAACCCACTCCCTCGATCCTGAATAATACCGCTAGATCGATCTTGGCGTCCATTAGTGCATACTTCATCTCTCAATCTTTTGTCTTTTAGCCTTCTGTGGCAAAACCAGCTAGATATTTGCTTTTCTGTCAACCCTATTTGGTCTGCAAGTTCTGATTTCATTTCCTCGGTGGGATATTTGTGCTCTGTGAAAAAGCAAAAAAATCACTTCAAGAACATAATGGCTAACATCAGTGGGTTAAATAAATTTTGTGAGAGAAGCAATAGTACCATTATAAAAGTTCTCCAAAGCAACAACCTGGGCTGGTGTCTTGACTGTCCTTTTCAAATTCTTCTCTGGAGAAACTCTATTCTCTCCAAAATGCACTTCACTTGATTCTGAACATTGATTGTTTTTTTTACAAGACAAAATAAAAAATGAACATATACAAGTAAAGAGCAAAGACACCAAATGGCACGTATAAGTTTCCCTATAGCTGCTAGGGTTGTACTAGAAAATCAAGCCATTGAGTTGAAACAGTGATGTACGGATAGGGATATATCAGGTAAAAAAGAAAAATAAAGAAGCTGTAGAAATCATGCTATGGTGTATGAACTGAGGAAGGGACAACACCTATTTAACACAGGAAAACCGAGTTAGTTACTCAAGTAAGCTGTAGAAATCTACATTCGCAATATTTCATCAGAAAGGATATTAAACGCACAATTTTGTGGAGAAGGTCATATAAATGGGGTTAATCATGGTGAATGATGAATCCCAGTTTGACTAGAGTAGATTTGGCCAAGCAAAGGAAGTAGGTCGTGGCTTTAACTAACAAAGCAAACATAAAATGCCAATATTTTCTCATGAACTATTCAGAGTACTTTGAAGGGTATTTACAATGCTTTTGTTTGTTCAGGGAAAGCAAGCACCTGATTTCATAGATGTAAGCCATAGCAAGATAGCCAAAACCGGGTTTACTTTCAGAACAATTGTGATTCAAGATAACTCTCACGTTACATTCGGAACAATCATAATTCACACTCATATTCTGTGTTCACAGAGTAACCCAGTTGGATTCTCTATAAATTTTTCCAATTCCACATAATTATTCAAGGAATTCTCAATCAGCAAACCGAGGTTAATCTTTCACAATATCTTTGAAGAGCCATACGTTCCATCCAAAACCCCAGAAGCATTCGGAACACGAAACACACATTATTACAAGCATCCAACCTTAAGATTCCCAAGAATTTCTTTTACTGGAATGACAAAATTCAGATGTGTGATAATTAACAATGAAAAACTTCTTGCTTCCCCGGAAAAAATTGCCGACATGTTTTGTTTGCGAGCCAAAATAGGAACATAAATGGAAAGGAAAAGTTCAACTACATATAGCCAAAGTTTCCATCATCCGGGACACAATCAAAATCCCATTTCACACACAATTCCAGTTTCCTCAAAAACCAAAAACATGCTTAGAGGAAATTCTAACAGTTAGTTTGTCTTGCTGATCCCAACGTAACCCTTGTTGTCCGTGCAAGAAAAATTCTAATAACCCACAAAAAAGAAAAAACAATATTCAACAAGTGCATGAAATGATCATACGATTGGGGAAACTAGAGTGAGATAGAGGTACATATTAGTTTTACCTTCCATGGTTGTTGAATTTCAGGGGATTCTCTCTTCCTGTGGCTTTGATTGACTCAAAAAGAGAACCCCATTAGACCAATAAAGTTAGAAAACACAAACTAAATGAGAAAATGCAAAATGGGTAAGGTTCGATTGGGTGGAGCTCCAATCTCTTCTTTGATAATTTTTGACAGAGAGAGAAGGGTGGCTTTGGTAGGAGATGGAAAGGCAGACTTACAGAAAGAGGGAATTGAATTCACTGACTCTTTCCCTCTAATTTATTGTTGTTCTCTGTAGTCGCGTTTGATTAAATTCTCTGTTCAAAATTAAATTAAACAAATTTGTTTTTTCACATATTTTTTTGTTCGATTCAATTATTGTCGTGTTTATACTTTATCTTCCTTTTCCCTGTCTCTTTTTTCTCCCAGTCTTTAAAATCCAACCTTCGTGAAGCAAAGTAAAATAAAATAAAAACACGCTAATCTCCTGTCCTGTCCTGTCCTGTCTGCACTGCCTATTTTCTTCTGTTACGTACCAGGCGTGCTTTAATCGTAGGTCGGATAGAGAGGGTTAATAGGTTTTTTCTTTTTAGTGTTTTAAAAAGGATATAATTGTTTTTATGTTGTTATTTATTTAAATTTAATTTTTTATATATTTTTAAATTATTTTAATATAATGATATTAAGAAAAAAATTTAAATTTTTTTTTATTATATTTTCAAGAAAAAAATATTTTATAAACCGCTGTTATTTCAAATGTTTTGAAGTATATTCATAACTGTTTTTTAAAAAAAATCTCTGTCTAGAATTAATTTTTTATTATTAAATTATTATAAAAATAATATATATATATATGTATTAATTTAATATAATTTTTAAATAAAAAATATTTAAAAAATACCTATTAATATACTCTTAAACACCTTTTAAAATTAATGGGTGATGATAAATTGATGAGGTAGCTAATTTTAAATTTCTTTTGAATTGTGAAAATAGAGAAATAGGATTCCAGTCCTCTTGCATTTGCCGGTTAAACATGGAAATGCTGAATAATTACAAATAAAATTAAAAGACTTCAGTCTCGTAGATTGTGCACAGTATAATTCATTGTAAAATAATTGATGCTTTCCATAAAAAACCAAATAAGTGAACGAACACTCGGAGATAATTTTATATTTTCATGTCTTTATTTTACAATATAATTACTCATGTATCTTTGAAAAAAAAAAACACAATTAATATCTGAAGAATTTTTTGAAATTTCACATTTTTGTAGAGTATGATTACCCCGGTAATCTTTGGGGTAACTTTTCTTACCTAAAATAAAAGAGTATTTTCAATTTTTTAACATTTTTTTTTTTACAATTATCGTGTAGTGTTAAATATATTATATTATTTTATAGATAAAAAAATAGCATGTGTATCATCTCCAAATAACTATTGATTGTTGGTGTTTTTTATAAAAGACATCTAAAGCAATGTGCTACCCTTTATATTATAGAATAACACATATTAATTATAAAAATACGACAAAGCTTTAATGATAACGTCTTTTTTTTCTTCTTTTTACCTTAAAATGTGTGCTTATCTTGAAAAATTGTAAAGTGATCATCAATTTTATAATTTTATTAAAATTAATTTTATTGTTTTGAAATTTCATTCTTTAATATTTAGTTTTTTATATTTTTTCTTATCAAATTTAATTTTTATTCTTTTTATTTTTATTTTTTTTATTTTATCTCTAATCATTTGATTATATTTTTTATTGAATTTAATTTTCATACTCATTCTTATTATTGCAATTCCTTTCATTTTTTATTTTTCTTATTAATTAATTATTTTTTGGCAATTTAATCTCATTGTTTAATATCATTGAATTTTCATATCATATTTGATCTTTATTTTTTTATTATACTTTTAAAACTCAGCTCGGGAGTTGACCCCTACCATATCTCGGGTCATGGATTGGGTCAAATGACCGGAGTTACCAAGATCAAACATATATTTTTTATCATGCATGAAGTAAAAATAACATTGTTTTAATAAAAAAAATTATAAAATAAAAAATTAACGAGTGTTAACATGATTTCCCCCTAACTTATCGCTTTATTTTTTATTAAATTAAAAGGTAAAAATGATATTATTTAAAAAAAAATCAATTATAATTCCTTTTTTTTTATTCGTCTTTATTTGTTTTGGTTTTTTTTTTAGATTTTTTTTTAATTTCATATATTTCCATTTGATTTTCTTTTGTTTACACGTCAAATACAATACCTTTTCTTTTAATTGTTTTTTTTAATCATTTTCTTGATTTTTTTTCTTTCAATTTTGTCTCTCAATATTCTATTTCATCTTTTTTTTCAAGATTTAGTCCTTTTTTTTTTGCTTTTTTTAATCATTTTCTTATTTTGTTTCTTTCAATCTTGTCCCTTTGCATTGTATTTCACTTGTTTTTTAATTCAATTTTGGTTATTATTTTTTAATTGTTATTTTATTTTATTTTAGTGAAGTCACTCATTATTTTCTTTAACTAGTTTTTATATTAATTAAAATACTCATTGTTTTGACTATTATTTGTTTTCTTTTTAATTTACCAATGATTAAGAAATTTCTTCTAGATATTTTTTTGGTATTTTGTATGGTCATCTTGGTCTCATTAATGGAGTTTACGGTTTAAAAAATTAGCTCGATTTAACTTTATTTTTTTATTTTATCTTTCAATATTAAGTTACTGGCCTTAAACTTTTTTTATTTTTTCCCTTTCCTTCATCCGGACTATCCTAAATCGTTAACCAGTCAAGTTAACCCGAATCCACTCAGGTTATTATTAAGAACCATATGATTATTTTGTTTTATTATTTATTAAGAATACAATAATTTCTTCAATTTTCTTTGTTTTAACATGTATGAAGTCTCTTTTAGGTTAAATTAATATTTTTGGAGTAATTCATTACATTATATAATATAAATAAAAACCTAGCTTTTTTTCTTTATTTTTTTAGGATTATTTAATAATTATCATTATTTAAATATTTTTTTATTAAAAAAATTAACCTGGCTTGCAGTCTTACACGTTAAAAAAAAAATATCTATATAATAAGTTAAATATTTTTCTGGACTTGATATAATATATCAATAATTAGTACTTTGCGTAGTTGCCTTGCTTGTTGATGAGGCATTTTTAAGTGAACATCTATCATACAACAGTTTGCAAGATAATTCTACAAAAAAAAAAACGAATTAAAGCCAAAAAGAACTGGAAAGATGAACTGGTATTTGAATTGTGAAGATGAAGGGAGTGCTTCTTTTCGTAGCTTATCTTTTTTTTTTGTGTTAAGTAGTTTTTAAATAATATTTTATCTAAAAAATTATTAAATTAATTATTAAGTATTTTTTATTAATTTTAATATGCTGATATCACAAAAAATAAAAGAATAAAAAACAATCAATTGAAATACAATTTTATAAAAGCATCATACATGTATTACCATGAAGTAAAGGTGAATCATCCCTTCACTTGCTACATCCGATAAGACTATATTGGGGAATAAGACAAAAGTTATTTTTAAAAATATTTTTTATTTAAAAATATATTAAAATAATAAATTTTTAATTTTTAAAATTTATTTTTAATATAAATATATTAAAAAGGTATAAAAACATTAATTTAAAACTTTAAAAAAATCAAAAGCATAACTAGACCTAAATCAAACATTTCTTTCATCCCTCTAAATTAATCCATCTTCTTTCAAGTCCTTCCATGGAGTTAAATTTTTAAACAACCTTGTCTTCTTAAGGAGTCAAGATGTCTGTTGTCCATGTAGGATTCTGGATATTTGAAGTTTCTTTTAGATTATTAATTGTGTGATTAATTGAGTCATTACACGTGGTTGATCTTGGAAAGAACGAATATATATATATGATTATATTGAATGACGAGTATAGACTTGCTTGCGGGACAAGAGAACTAAAAAAAATCAAGTCGTCATTACTGAATTAAGTTTATATGTGATAATAAGTTTTTATTATCATTACAAACAAATAGATATTTCTTAATTCAAGAAAGATAATAATTTTCCAAAATCTTTTGTTTTCCCTTACCGATATAATCAAGTCATCCCCTGTAATAAAACAAAACCTCTTCCATTAATTCTAGATTAAATTGTTCGTAATAAATAATAATGAGAGTGTAATTCAATTAGTTAGATTTTTATATTTGATTTTTTAAAATTACTAGGTTAAATTTTATAAATTTTAAAATTATTAAAAATTTATATAATTATTAATTTAGGGTAAATAAATTTTTTAATTATTAAAAAGCTAATAAATATTTTTTTTCTCATTCCAAAAAGACAATGCATTTGAAAAACAAATTTTGGGTTCCTAGTTAAATGATGCCCTCCAAAAATAAATAAAAAACTCTTGCTCCCATGCTCTTCCTCGTAAATCTCTCCACATATGTTGCATGGGAAATTCTCATGCTGATTTTTTTCATGATTGTATTCTTTGGTTCTTTTTTTCATAATAAATCTCATAGTTCTTTTAATTATATTTTGTAAATAGATAGACCATGGTCTCTTTACTTTTTAATTTTGTGTTAGTGTTTCATATTTATAAATTTGTAAATTCAAGTAAATTCTCTATCATAGTAAATATAAAAGAGATGCTATTTTATATTTTCATATCATGTGCTCACATGTATTTCAAAACTTAGAATATGATTTTAAGAGGGTGTTTGGTATCGTGTTTGAAAAGTGCTTTAAAAAAAATTTGAATTTTTTTTTTGACTTTAAATTAATATGTTTTTGATATTTTCAAATCATTTTGAAGTGCTGATCTTAAAAATAATTTTAAAAAAATAAAAAATATTATTGACATACTTTTCTGAATGAAAAATATTTTAAAAAACAACTGCAATCACATTCCCAAACACGCTCTTAAGTTCTTCATGCTAAATGCATGATAAAGAGATCTAAAACACTTGTAAAACAAGTCTGCAATCACATTTCCAAACACGCTCTTAAGTTCTTCATGCTTAATGCATGATGAAGAGATCTAAAACACTTGTAAAACAAGTCTCTGTAGTAGATTAGAGACTTTCAATGACCATGTAAAAATAGAACTATGAGCTTGGAAACACAACGAATTTAGCCTGATAATTGTGATGCAGTAAAATAATGAGATAATGGGTGTGCCTTTCTAAAAACAATTTGAATTTTTTTATTTTAAATTATTATTTTTATATATTTTTAAATTATTTTAATGTATTGTATCAATCCCTACACCTTATCTTAAAGCCCATGCCCCATTTTATTGCCACGAAAATTTGTCTAGTTGTATGGGGAGCAGGGTAGAATTATCTATTCATTTATCATCAATAACTTCATAAATCGATTCGGAGGTAAATGTCTCAAACATTGATGGTAGGATGTTGGATATACAT